GTTCAATGCCCTCTGAGTTCAATCCTTAGCAAAAAAAAAAAAAAAAATGAAGCAACCTTTAAGATCAAAATGCTAATGAAAAAATCAAGGATGATATTATTATGTAAATACTGATTACTATAAAGAACACATTGTAAGTTGTAATTCAAAATTTCAACAGGGGCTGGGCTCAGGGGCACAAACCTGCTTCCAAGAGCCTCAGGAGGGAGGCTGAGGCAGGATTTCTTGAGAGTTGAAAGCTAGCATCAGCAATAGCGAGGCACTAAGAAACTCAGTGAGACCCTGTCTCTAAACCCCTACAAAATAGGGATGGGGATGTGGTTCAGTGGTCGAGTGTCCCTTAGTTTAAAGTTTAATCCCTGGTAACCCTCCCTTCCGCCAAAAAAAAGATTTCAACATGGTATTCTCATAGGATGATAAAATTTTCATTAACAGAAAAAATATGGTTGCATATATATACATCCTTATACAAATAAATATTATTTTAAAGACCATAAAATATTTGCAGGGTGGACACTGCTTTCTTTGAAGTGAGGAAGTGTTATTTTTACATGACTCACTTTAATAATATTTGAAAATATTATTATATAATATTAAATATATAATCATACCCCAATTAGAAAAAAAGTTGAAATACCTTACCTTAGGAGAGACTATTATTCATATCAACATGTTATTGATTCATCACAACTATCCTCTGTTGTGTACAGGACAGATGTATTAATTTTAGACATCACTGAGCTTCAGCAACAGGAGAGGTAATTGTAAGACTCAGCACTGTTTAAGTGCATCATAAACCACCACACTGTATTAACTACAGGTTTACTTGCTTCATATGTATATTTTATAAATATATTCCTTATGGGAGCTATTTAGGAAACAGAGATGAAGAAAATGTTCTTGTCTTCTATAATTAAGTAATATAAAAATATGTTCATTTATATCAACAAATCAATTTTCTTTTCTTATCTCTATAGATAGCTAGATTTAGATATGTAATCATCCTAACACATCTGTGTGGCACTGTGT